AGCTACCACTAAAATAATCTAAATGAGTAAAAACCCCATGTTTAAAAATTCTATGATTTAAATCGATGATTATAAATAACTAAAATATATTCATTTGATGAATTTTAAGCAGTATTTAATTCTTTTTTAAGTTAAATTGAGATTATTAATTAAGCAAAACAACTATCCTATATTATTAATGTTTAAACTGAAGCAAATGAAAACTATGAAAAAACTTAGATTAATCTTGCTCTCAAAGCTTTTTCTAATTTAAATAGTAAGACTTCAAAGCAGTAGATAAACTAGCTTATAAGAATTTGATGCTGAGAACCTTAATTGCTCCGATGGCCTTATTCTTGACTTAGAAAGTCTTGAATGCATAATGTGATGCCCATCTGATTAATATGAACTATAAATATAAAATCATATAAGTTTTGAAATTGGAAGTTAGCTTAAGTACTGTAGAGGTAAATAGAATTATGCTAATAATAATTTTGATAGATAATGACTTATATGTGGACCCATCATCAATTGGAAAATTAGAACTTGGCACAAAATTCTATCCTTATAAAAATATGGAAAGCGCTTTTATAGAAATAATGAATAATTTTGGTTCAAGGTTTAAAATTATCACTATATGGTTAAAGCCAGGAGAAGTATACTATCTTAAGTCAGCTGATCATTGATATATCCTTTGGAATATTGACCTTATTTCAATTAAGTAAGTGATATTGATTTATACTATCAAATAGGACTTTATCTAGCTCATCCAGTTAAATTATATTTGCAATGGATGATATGCCACATATTAATTAAAGTTCTACAATCTTCAATCTTATCAATGTCACATTCAATGTTAACGACAGATTGGCTGAGAGTATTTAAGAGTTAGGGAGTATCAATACAAATATTTAAGACCTCAACTCTAAATTTCTTTTAATTAATACATCACTATCCTTAGAAAACATCTTTTTTAATAGTCAGACATAGTTTACTTTTTAATATACATCTATAGATTCTAATGAAAATGATGATTTTTTGCTTTTTCATGTCATAAATCAAAATCTTAATCATTCAGTCCAAATTAATGTAAGTTTTAAATTGATTCTCAAGCAAATTTAGAATTGCAAATTTGAGGTTGATGGTTAATTATTATTTTCAGAGCATTCTTCTTCTCTAATCATAAATAACACTTTAATAATAACTGATGAATTAGAGGATGGAATAATCATAAAAGATAGCTGTAATTCATCATAAAACCCAAACACTTTAATTAGTTTTTGGCTGAGTAATACCTAATTTATCGGGGCAAGAAATAAATTTATGAGCGAAGCTATGATTTCAATTTACACTCATCAATATGATACGATCAGGATTCAAAACATAACAATTTAATCTTTTATGACTTCTTAAGATTACGACCCAAATTTGATAAATATTAAAGGTAATGATAGTACTGTAAAATAATGCTAATATATCAGTAATAGTAATTAAAAACAAGATTTTCTATTTAATTAAGTTCAAATAATTGGAGATGCAGAGGGTGAAATTTATTCCGATTAGGGTAAAATATCTCACTCTATCTAATTAAATCTTACAACCTTAAGATAATCATAAATAGTAGTCAATCAAATCTATTTTAGAAATTTAAGCAGTATAAAATCTCTATTAGAAGTCTACACAAAAATCTAAAATATTATAGTGGAGGATTTATCATTCCATGATATCAAAACTTAAGGTGAGGATACTTATAATGTATTTTTGCAGGGAGAAGGAAATGCAACAATCAGGGATATTTTTATTCTGAAGTCTGTTATTAACGGAAAGGGAATAATATTTTCAAAGAATTTTTAATGTGTGATTCATAAAAGCATTACTGTTCTAGATAATAAACGTAATTTTTATTTGACTTTATTTTATTAGTTAAAACTGAAAGCACTAGCCAATTTGCTATTAGATCAGATGCATTTTCTAGTAGCTCAATAGTTACATACGATCAATTGAATTTCAGAGGAAATTATTACGGTGCTAATTTTGCTATTGTAAATTATCAATCTTGTGCTTAATTTTCAATATAAAATTCATATTTTTCTGATGAAAGTAAGTATTTTTATTATAATTTATCTAGGAATAAACTCATAAAACAGCTATATATTGGTTACTAAAACTCATTCATTAAGAATAGTGAATAGTATTTTCACTAATATTTCCTATTCTGACAACCTTTTTGTTGACACCTATCTAGTTAGATATCAGGAAAAAATTTTAGAGCAAGGCTTGACCTCAGATTCAATAATTAGAAATGTTACGTTAAGTTATAGTAACATCAACTTTTTTAAGATAGATAAATTTAATAACGTAAGTCAATTTGACAACAAAAAATATCATCTTGACTTTGATAGGGTAATTGTAGCAAATCTCTTTTATGTGATTGAAGGATCAATAATAAATATTGATAGAATAATAGATGAGAACGATCTATAAATAAGGATAATGAATTCACTCTTTGAGACAATATACTTTAATGCTATTGGTTCTTTACTGTATATTAACGCAAATCTAAGATACCCTGTTCTCATACAAAACAGTAGTTATGTTGATAGCTTACAAGGATTTATCACACTAACTCCAAATGATATTGAAAGACGGGATATCCCTCTAATTTTAGAAATAAGAGGTTGTGAATTTTCATACCATTCACCCTTATAATTTGCTCTGCTAATTGTAACTGCTAATGTTAAAGTATTAATGTTTGACTCAGATATTTCTTACATAGTTTCTCTTAGTCAAGGGGTATTTCTTAGAGCTGAAAGTAATGATTCATATGTATACATCTTTAATTCATCTATTCGAAACAATTATGCTAGTGAGGGAGTTGCTATTTATGCTATAGATTAAGCGTATGTAGAATTAGATTAGTGCAAAATCTTCAATAATTTAGCTTTTTGGAAAACTGTTATTTCAATTGAGAGAAACGCTTATTTTTTAGTTTCAAACACATTATTTTAAGAAAATCACTCATTAGTTTTTTCAGTATTAGGTATTACTGAATCAATTGGTCTGCCATCTAGATTTGTAAATTCCACATTCATTGATAATTACGATTATGATGCTATATAATTTATGGCTGCTTAAACAAATCCAATAGTGATTGGCTACCTTGAATAATTTATATAGTATGTCCTCTAATAAAGCTATCTAAGTAAATGACATCCATTAAAATTAGAAAATTCATACTTAGAAATCGACAATTGCTTGTTTATTAATGAAGAAAAAATTGTGGAAGTTTTCAAATCAATATTGGTTGTCAGAAATTCAATTTTCAAAGGATCAGTACTCAAGTAGACAGATGGAGGCATTTTTAGTATAGTTGCGAGTCAAGTTCAAATAGCAAGTTCCACTTTCGAAAATTTGACTTATGAATTTCCGACTCTTTATCACTCCTCATGTCTTTTTTGGGTAGCAATTTATTCTAAAATATCAATGAATGATTGCAATTTTAAAGGGATATAAGTTCAGCTATCATATGTGTCCAATTCTGAAATAAAGATTGAATCAACCTATTTTGAGAGATTTGAATATTATAATGAAGTTGATTACATGTTGATAATTGAGGGCAGTTTTATCAACATTTCTAATTGCTAATTCTCAAATTTAAAGGTTTTAAGCAACAGCATTATTGACATTTAGAGATCACAAATTTCAACAATATAGGACTCTAATTTCTATGATTTCAACTAAGTATTCATAGCAATAAAATCATCAGAGCCACTTATCATAAAAAACTGTAGTTTTAAATCTAACAATCAATTTGGATTAAGCAGAGCTTTTGATATTTCTAAATGCAACGTTTAGATTTTAGATTCAAAATTTGAGAATTTAATCAGTAAATCTTATGGTGGAGCTATCAACGTTCTTGATGGAAGTTTAACTTTAAATAATTCTGAATTTATAAAAAATCAGGCAGAACATGGTGGTGCAATCTCACTAAGATGCAGGAAATGTAATTATAATATTATTTTAATTTTACAGCTAAGCAATGTCATTTTACTCTTGGTAAAAATAAGTATCTGGGCAATAAAGCTAATATAGAAGGTGGAGCAATTTATTACAACAAGAATAGACCAAAAGGAATTGAATAAGAAGAATTCGACTAATCTGATTCTGCTCCTTATGGAAATTCTATAGCAAGTTATGGTTTTGGTATCAGGATCGTAAACATAGATAATAACTTAATAGCTAGTGGATAAAAATTTTAAGGATAATTTACCTTTGAAGTAATATTTCTAAGTATTTCTACTTATAGTTAATTGATTATGATGGTTAGAGAATGACTAATGATGAAATTTCGTAAGATAATCACTTTTAAACCAAACTTGATAGGACTTTGAGTATAGAAGAATTAGATCAAAACCTTAAAATAGTAGGATCAAAATCAGCAAAAATAAGACTAGGTGTTGCTACATTCAGTAATTTAACCTTTTTCGCTCCTCCTAATTACTAAAATGCAAAAGTTAGAATTTACTCTCCAAACATAGATTCTATGTTTCTTCGTACACTCTTTGCAACGGTTAACTAATCATTTATCAATAATGGGGAATTTGAAATTAGTTTTAGAGAATGCATCTAAGGAGAAATTTAGACTGCTGATTCGTAATATTTTTATTTTTGAAATAACGTTGAATTTAGTTGCTAGAAATGCGAAATAGGATATTATTCTCTAATGAAAAGTTCAGAAATATGTAATGAATGCCCTTAAAATGCCTAATGTTAAGGAGGTTCTAGTTTTATTCTTAATTCTGGATATTGGAGATCATCAATTTTTTCTTCAAAAATAATCTAATGTTTAAATAAGGACGCATGTATTGGTGGTCAAATTAATTCTTCCTCAAATTCAAGTTCTCTAATATAAGATATAGATATTTAATGTGCGCCAGGATATTCAGGCGTTTTGTGTGATAATTGCAAAGAATATAATGGTTAATTATATAGAAGATTAACAAAACATACCTGTGGTATATGCCCTGAATAATGGAAATCTTCACTCAAAGCTTTTGGTCTGTTTATTCTAATATTCTCTGCCTTGTCACTGCTAGTGTATTTTAATATTTCAAGTGGAAAAAAAAGCTCGATAGTTTTGGTTTTGAGGATTGCTACTAATTATCTATAAGTTATTTCAACAATTGGTGCATACAATTTAAATTGGCCTATCTACCTAAGAGAGATGTTCGGAGTTTATGAAACTGTTGGTGATTTTTTTGATAATTCTTTATCCTTAGAATGTGTTTTTGATGTTTCAGATTTGAATATTGAAGATTTTTCCACGTATTACTTTAAGGCTATCTTATTATCAATATTCCTTATAGGTGCTTGCATCTTCTACTTTCTAATATATTATTTTGCATCCATGAAATTACCACAAAACAAAACAAATTTAAAGGAAAAGTTATTCTTAATAATTTTAATCATTACCTACACAATGCACCCAACAATATGTAAGGTTATATTAGGCTTGTACAATTGTGTTGAAGTAGATGACGGTGATTTTAGAATGGAACAGGAGATATAAATAAAATGTTGGAGTTCTTCTCATTTAAAATATAGCTTGCTAATAGGAATTCCCTCAATTTTAATTTGGATAATATTGCTTCCTCTTTGTTGGTTTATAATGATAGTGAGTTAAAGAAAAAGCTAAAGTTTTAAATCAGGAAAAACCAAATTTAAAATGATTATTGCAGGGCTCAGAAGTGAATGCTATTATTGGGAGTTCATGAATATAATTAGAAAAACTTTGCTAGTGGCAGTAAATGTATTTTTACAAGCATACCGAAACATATTCAAATCCATTCTAAGCATCATTGTCCTCTCTTTTTTCTTGCAGATATAAAATAGATTGAAACCTTACAAGGATCCATTAATAAACAGGCTTGAATATAGAGAATACCTTTCAAACTTGGTTATATTTTTTGCTTCTTTATTCTTCGTTAATACTGAGATTTCTAATGAAATTTAACTTTGTGCATTCATTATAGTAGTACTTTTCAACCTCAACTTTGTATTTTTGTGGATATACTCATTAATATCCATTGGCAAGTATTCAAAGTTGAGAGTCATTTAGCAATTACTGGAGAAATTTGTTTTTATTTCTGATGAGGTCTTGCAAAAACATAAAGTTATCAAAGACTCAAAGATGAAGCAGAAAATATAAATCCATATTGATAACAAGGAATCTAACAAATTAACATCAGAAAATGACAAGGTAGATATATCAAGAAGTAAAGATGAGGTAATATACAAATAAAATGGATAAATGAAACTTGAAAACATCAAATTTAATCACTTTGATGTTCTTAGCCAAATGGCTGCGGAGAGAGAGGAAGAATCAAAGATATCTAGTCACACTCTCTATCCATTTTTTTAAGATAGATCTTAAAGAACGGTTGAAAATTAGTCTAGCATTATTAGACAATAAACTAAAATCAAAGAAGAAATTAAAAAGAATAAAACAAAAAAGGTTAAAGCAAAGTAACAATTATCTAAAATTCTGGGCTAAACTTCATTTCTCAGCCAAAATAATATTTCAAAAAGTATTAATGATTCTCATAGTGATAATAGCAAAAGTTCTTAGAGATTTTTAAGAGATGCATTTACAAATAGAAATTAGTTATCCTTGAAGAGTAAATTTAAAAAATGATTAATCTGCTTTTGATTTACATTTTAGATAAATCCAAAAACAGGAATTAATTCTTATAAGCTTTTAATTGAAAATATAAATTTATAGATTTAACTAAATTTAATTTTTCTGATCTACTAATTTTCTTATTGATATCGCAATTTGGGGTTTTGGGGTTTTGGGGTTTTGGGGTTTTGGGG